CAATGGTTTTTCAACATTTATGTTACATGAGCTCGCGCGAGCTACTTTTTCTTGTTCTAACATAATCAAATTTCAATACTCCCTTGCAAAAAAAAGTAAAGTGGACATTCGCGCGCGCAAGACCAACAAAAAACACGACGATCTCAGGAACTTGCCCCAAAAATGTGACCAACTCCGCTCTCTCTGTCTCTCTCTCTGTCTGCTCTCTGTCTCTCTCTCTGTCTGTCTGTGTCATGTATTGTATGTCACAATTGCAGGATGCTGGGCACACGCGCGCCCCGAATAAGTGACCAAGTTCTGTGGGTGTGTACCCCACGCCAGTGTAGTAGCCACGGTCGTCCGCACGCCACGAAGTGAAGTGTCCCAACGTCATAGGGCGGGAAGCTGGGTTTGGGTGGTCGCGAAGAGTCGTTTGGATATTTGGTAGAGCTTGAACTGCCCCCCCACGAAGTGGGGGTATTGTCTCGCGTCGCATGAAAACCCTGGCACTGGTGAGAACACTGAGCGTTCGGGTAAAATGATTGTTGTTGTTGTTGTTGTTGTTGTTGTTGTTGTTGTTGTTGTTGTTGTTGTTGTTGTTGTTGTTGTTGTGTGTGTGTGTGTGTGTGTGTGTGTGTGTGTGTTTGTGTTCGTGTTTGTGATTGTGCTTGTGCTTGTGTTGGTGTTGGTGTTGGTGTTGGTGTTTGTGTTTGTGTTTGTGTTTGTGTGTGCCCCCTTGGGCGGCGGCGGCCAGTGCGCTCTCCGCCATCCGCGCCATCCACGCCCGGGCGGTCATGTGCTGCCCCTCCGCTGAGCCAGCCCGCACCGGATTGGGTTTCGGCCGCCGCACTTGACTTGCTTCGCCTCGTCGCCGCGCGCGGGGCCGCAGCCGCCCAAGTGTGCAGTCAAGACGCTGAAGTAAGGAACAGTTTGGGTTCCTCCAGTGCTGTTCCTCTCGCCCTCCGGGGGCACGGAGGCGCTTACAGGGCCAAGAAGGGGTTTCGTTCCTTAATTAGCGTTCCTTCTTTCAGCGGCCCGACTGTGTATGTGTGTGTTGTGCCCCCGCCTCCCTCCCCCCTCCCTCGGGGCGGTCCAATCAGCTGCGCTGGTGGCCCCGCCTGCAGCCCACCGCTGTCCCTATCTCGGCCCCGGCCAAGCACGGACGACAACGGCGACAACGACGACGGAAACGACCACGACGCCAAAGAGGACGACGACGACGAACACGAGGAAAGACAGAGGACGACGTAGGCGACGACGACGACGCGGGAGGAGGGAGGACGGCGACGACGACGACGACGCAAGAGCGCGCGCGCACGCTTTTGTTGAAAATCCGAGTTGCGAAACCTTGTGTTTTTGTAGGTTTTGCGGACACACGATTTTGCAATCCTTCCGAAACCGATGGGTTTTGAAGGATTTCGGCGTACGCGCGCGACGACGCGCGCGTCTGCACTTCGTCTTGTTCTTTTGCAGAGGATTCTCGCGACGGCACACGCGCAAGGGCGTTCGACAGGTTTCGACATGCGCGCGCGCGAAGCCCGGTTGGTAGCATGTTGTGTAAATCTTGAAAAACCAATGGTTGTCTTCAGATTTCGCAAGAGCTCGCGCGTAAGTTTTTTTAGTGAGTCAGTGTTACGAAACCTTTTTTTTTGTGTGTTTGAAACTCGATTGTGAAATCCTTCCGGCACCGAAGGTTATTGAAGAATTTCGGCACGCGCGCGGTTACGCGCGCGTGTGCACTTCGTCTCATCTGTTGCAAGGGATTTGTGAACAAGTATTATGTTAGAACAAAAAATGTCCCCGCGTATCGTTTTTTAGGGGGGGCGATCCCGGCCCCTCGGGGATAGTGTGAATTCATATTTCGGATGGACATGTTGTCATAATCGTATCTGATTTACATACCCGAAAAGGGGGGTATAACGCCCGGGGGGGGGGGTAGAGTTTATTCTGTTTTTAGAAAGGCATTAGATTTTGACAAACGAGTTGACACATCCAGCGCTCTTGGAAACTTCCCACCCACACACCCGCAACTTGGTTTGCAACATCTCTTAAGACCGTGACGGTGGGTACCAAATGGCCCTTGGCAACGACAGCGACGCCGACGACGACAGCGACGTCGGCGACGACGACGCCGACAACGACTACGACGACACCGACGACGTTTCCAACGACTTCGACGACGCCGACGACGACGACACCGACGACGACGACGACAACGCCGACGCCGACGACGACGACGATGACAACGACGACGACGATGACGACGCCGACGACGACGACAACGACGACACCGACGACGACGACGATGTCAACGACGCCGACGACGACGACGACGACGACGGCGGCGACGACAACGATGCCGACGCCGACGACGACGAAAACGACGACGACGCCGACGCCGACGACGACGACGAAGACGACGACGCCGACGTCGCCAACGAAGACGACGACGAGGGAGGAGGGAGGACGACGACGGCGACAACGACGACAACGACGACAACGACGAGGAAGGAGGGAGGACGGCGACGACGCGAACGACGAAAAAGGAGGAAGGACGGCGACGCCGACGACGACAACGACGAGGGAGGAGGGAAGACGACGACGACGACAACGACGACGGCGACGACGACGACGACGGCGACGAAATAGGAGGGACGACGACGAGACGCCGACGGCGGACGACGACGACGACGAGGGAGGAGGAGCAAGGACGACCACGGCGACAACGACGACGGAAACGACCACGACGCCAAAGCTGACGACGACGAACACGAGGAAAGGCAGAGGACGACGTGGGCGACGACGACGACGCGGGAGGAGGGAGGACGGCGACGACGACGACGACGACGACGACGCAAGAGCGCGCGCGCACTTTTTGTAGAAAATCCGAGTTGCGAGACCTTATGTTTTTGTATGTTTTTTGGACACGATTGAAATCCTTCCGAAACCGATGGGTTTTGAAGGATTTCGGCGTACGCGCGCGACGACGCGCGCGTCTGCACTTCGTCTTGTTTTTTTGCAGAGGATTCTCGCGACGGCACACGCGCAAGGGCGTTCGACAGATTTCGACATGCGCGCGCGAAGCCCGTTTGGTAGCATTTGGTGTAAATCTTGAAAAACCAATGGTTTTCCCAAGATTTCGCAAGAGTTCGCGCGTAAGCTTTTTTAGCAAATCAGTGATGCGAAACCATGTGTTTTTGTATGTTTTTTGGAAGCTCGATTGCGAAATTCTTCCGGCACCGAAGAAGGATTTCGGCATGCGCGCGCGACGACGCGCGCGTGTGCACTTCGTCCCGTTTTTTGCAAGGGATTCGTGAACAAGTGTTATGTTAGAACAAAAGATGTCCCCGCATATCGTTTTTCCCCACCTAGGCTCTGCCTAGAAGGGTTCTTGCTCTCTAGCTTAAAGGGGCCGGGCAGTGGAAAGCGCCCCGGGCGGTTCCCCCAGTCCCCGCCCCGCGGTTCCCCCAGTTGCGCCCCCTGGGTTCACCCAGCTTAGCTTAGCTAGGCTTAGCTTAGCTTAGCTGTCTCATCTTAGCTTAGCTTAGCTTAGCTTAGCTTTGCCTGGCCTAACCTAGCTTAGTTTAGCTTAGCGTAGCGTTGCTGAGCGTATTTTTAGCTTAGTTTAGCTTAGCTTAGCTTAGCTTAGCTTAGTTTAGCTTAGCTTAGCTTAGCTTAGCTTAGCTTAGCGTAGCTTATAGTAGCTTGGCTTAGCTTAGCTTAGCTCAGCTTAGCCCAGCTTAGCCTAGCCTAACTTAGCTTAGCTTAGCTCAGCTCAGCTCAGCTTATCATAGCTGAGCTTACCTTAGCTTAGCTTAGCGCAGCGCAGCACAGCGCAGCGCAGCATTAGCACATCATCGCGTAGCATCGCATAGCCAAGCATATCATAGCATAGCATAGCATATCATAGCTGAGCATAGCATAGCATAGCATAGCACAGCATAGCATAGCGCAGCATAGCATAGCATAGCATATTATAGCATAGCATTGCTTCGCATAGCACATCATAGCACAGCATAGCATAGCATAGCATAGAATGTTGCTTTCCTAAATGCTCCAATTCCTAGGTAGGAAGGCACTGGGATAATTTACAAGGTAACCTCAAGGGGGCCGATCCCGGCCCCTCGGGGATAGTGTAAATTCATATTTCGGATGGACATGTGGTCATAATCATATATCATTTGCATACCCGGAAGGGGGGCGGCGAAAACTGGGGCGGGGGGGGGGTAGAGTCTATTCTGTTTTTAGAAAGGCGACTCTATGTTGTGCAAGCTAGGCGGCGACGGACCGGCGATGAAGCGGCGCAGTGTCTTGGGCATCGTGCTTGGGGTGAATGGGCTCATGGAGGCTGGTACGAACAATTCGCGCTGGGTGTTGTTGGCGCACGGCCTTCAGCATTTTGTGCGGTTCCAGGGGATGGCACTAGCGCCCAGGCGTCGCAAGAGTCCCCTTTGAACCGAAGTGGCGGAATCCACAGGGAGGTCCAAAGGGAGGAATGAATAAGCAGCAGGCGCCGGGCTGTGGGTTGGGTTGGGGGAAGAAGAGCGGGAGGGGGGGGTACTGCCCACAGCTATGGTGATGTAGTGGCATTCGTATGCACCTCAGTGATCGCACATTCTGACTGTTGTGCTCACAAGCTTCGAGGTGCTCACGAGGGCATCCGAGTCGTTTCTTGGCGCGCTGGCGTTCTTTGGGCAGCTCTGTCCATAGGCATCACGGGAATCATGAAAAGGCAAAGCGGTTTAGGCATCCTACTGGGGGTGAATGGGAGGAGGAGGAGGAGGAGGAGGAGGAGGAGGAGGAGGAGGAGGAGGAGGAGGAAGAGATCAAGGAGAAGGAGAATGATGATGAGGAGGAGGCGGAGGAGGAGGGCGCATGGAGGCTGGCAGGAGCAACTTGCGCTGGGTGTTTGTCGGCGCACGGGCTCCAGCACACTATGTGGTCCCAAGGAATGGCACTGGCGCCCAGGCGTCGCAAGCTCCAGAGCACAGCGGTGCAAGAGTAGTAAAAACGCTCTCCAGTCCCTCTCCGCCATGACTGCAGATGATTGCGGGGCACTGGCTCTGACCACGAGCGGGTGCAACGCCAGGTTCGTGATCCTGTCCGCCGACCTCAAGGGCTGCTGGTGCGCGGCTGCGGGGGACGGGTGCCAGTCCCGGAGCGACCACGTCGAGTTCGCAATCTACGCAGCTAGCAGCTGCGTTGTTGCCGCCGAGCCCGGCAACGCCACAGTGGAGCTGGCGGCTGGGCTGCACTCCCTCCGCGTGCAGTACTCGGCGCACGCGCAGGGCCAGCCTGGCGTGGCGCTGCGCTACTCGGGCCCGGACACGGGGTTCGCGGAGGTGCTCGTGCCGGAGAGCGTGCTGAGCAGCCCAGCGAGCGACCCGCAGCCCGGGCTCAGGGCCGTCTTTTTTGCCGGAGCCGCCAGTGGCTGCTGGTTTCCCGATCTCAGCGAGCTCGTTCCCACGGCGACCCGCGTGGACTATTCGGTGAACTACACCAGCAACGCCAGCTGGGAGGGCCTTGGCCTTGTGGAGTATTCGGTGAACACCACCAACGCCAGCTGGCAGGGCCTGGGCCCGTTCGCGGCCCGCTGGACGGGCTTCGTGCAGATCACACTTGCGGGGCTCTACAGCTTCCAGGTGGAGTCCGCCGACAGTAGCCGCCTGCTCATCGACAGTGCACTCTTGCTCGAGCAGAGCGGGTGCAACGGCACAGTGACGGGCGACGCTTCGGTGGAGCTCGCTCCAGGCTTCCACCGCCTCGATTTGGAGCACTTCTCGTTGGCTGGGGAGGCCATCCTCGCCCTCATCTACAGCGGGCCCGACACGGGCTTCTCGGCATTGGCCGTGCCTTCCGAGGCCTTGTTCCGAGCGCCAGACACGATGCCATCGGATGGTGACTTGCGCCTCACCGATGGGGCTTGGGGCCGGCTTGAGATATTCCATGACTTCAAGTGGGGAACCGTGTGCGATGACGGGTTCGGTGACAAGGAAGCGCAGGTGGTCTGTGTCCAGCTGGGCTATGGCTTCGGGCAGGGCGTTTTCCTGGGCAACGCTGTGCCAGACGGTGCTGGTTCCATTTGGATGGACGGAGTGATGTGCACAGGCAACGAGACCAGGTTGGACGAGTGTGCGTTCGATGGTTGGGGAGTGAACGACTGTGCCCATTCCGAGGACGTGGCGATCGACTGCGCCGCTGCTTCGGTGGTACCGCCAGAGGGGTCCCTGAGGCTCTCGGGTGGGAGCAGGGGCCTGTTGGAGATATACCACGACGGCGCCTGGGGCACGGTCTGTTCAGGAGGGTTCGAGGCCGCAGAGGCGCAGGTGGCGTGCCGCCAGCTCGGCCACTGCTGCGGCGTGGTCCTAGACGGTCCCGTGCCGGCTGGAGTTGGACCCGTCTGGGTGTCCAGCTTGGCTTGCAATGGCTACGAGGCCAGACTGGACGAGTGCGCGCACAGCGGCTGGGGCAATCATACCTGCAGCCACCTGCAGAACGTCGGCGTTGAGTGTTTGGAGGGGTCGGACTGCGCATTCCTCGGCGGCGCGCTGTATTCACCAGGCGACACTGGCCTGCGGGTGTACGTGTCCGGCGTGACGTCCGTCAGCCCACTTGTCTTGCAGCCTCAGGCGGTCAACGCCACGAACGGCACAAACGCCACCGCGGGGCGCAGGTTCGTGTATGGGCCACAGCTGCTGAGCTTGACGTGTCGGGCGGGCTGTGCGACCTCCTCGACCGCGTTCCTGGCGACCAGCTGCGAGGCCGAACTGCCCGTGGGGGAGTTGCGCTCGGAGAGCGTCTTCTTGCAGCAGGGCCACGTGCAGAACTCCTGGAGCGTCGCGGTTGATGTGGAGGGGCTGCTGCCAGGAAGGTACTTCAGGCTCTGCCTCGACGCCGACGGAGACGCAGGCGAGCTGCCCGTCGGCGACACTGGCTTTGACGTCTACCTGCAGGGCATGTTTCTGCACTCGAGCGTGTTGCTGAGGCACCCCGAGCAGCTGCTGGAGGCCATCTGCATCGACGACTGTGCGAACTCCTCCCTTGAGGTCTTCCTGCGCACCGACGCGACCAGCTGCGGCGAGCAGGGGCTGCTCGCAGACCTCCCGCCGGTGAAGCGGACCCACCGCGCCTCCGTTGCGAACAGCACCTCGGACGCTTCGGTAGCAAGTCATGGGAGCCTTGTGTGCCCTCGTCGCTCCGTTTTTAGGGTGCACAAGCGTCGATCAGCGTCTGGTACTCGATGAGATAGCGCCGATTCAGCGTCGATTCAGCGTCGATCAGGGTCGATTTGGCGTCGATGAGCGTCGATTCGCAAGAGCCATCAAGATGGTATGGGAGGCTCCCATGAGCTGCCGCAGAAGGACACCTTCCGCTTCCTCGTGGACCTCTCGGGGCTGCGGCCTGGCATCCATGCCGCGCTGTGCGAGGACTTCGACGCCGACTCTGGCAACGGCCGCGCGGGCCCCTCCGCGGGCGGAGTGGTGTACGTCGCGGCCGGCACGGTGCTGACGTCTGGCACCATCCAGCGCCAGCCCCTGCAGGCCTCACCGGGCGCGCCCCACTACTCGCTACATGCTCGCAAACGTCCGCTAAACCCATGCTTGCCTCGATGTAGGGGCGCCTTGCGTCGCCGAGGCGCGAGCGCTGTTAGCCAGCGTGGGCCCAAACAGTAGGTTCTTGCAGCCTATGCGGTTCAATCTATGTGGTGCAACTTACGCGATGCAACCCATGTAATGCAAAATATGCGGTGCAATCTATGCGGTGCAATCTACGTGGTGCAATCTACGCGAGGCAACCTTTGCAATGCAGTCTGTGCGGTGCAATCTATTCGGTGCAATCTATGTGGTGCAATCTACGCGGTGCAATTTATGTTGTGCAATCTATGTGGTGCAATTGATTCTAACAAACGAGTCGACACATCCCGCGCTCTTGCGAACATCCCACCCACCCACCCGCAACTTGGCTTGCAAAATCTCTTAAGACCGTGACGGTGGGTACCTAATGGCACTTGGCAACGACAGCGACGCCGACGACGACAGCGACAAAGACGACGACGCCGACAACGACTACGACGACACCGACGACGTCTCCAACGACTTCGATGACGCCGACGACGACGACGACGACGACACCGACGACGACGTCGCCGACGCCGACGACGACGACGACAACGACGACGACGATGACGCCGACGACGACAACAACGACGACGGCGGCGACGACGACGACGACGACGTCAACGACGCCGACGACGACGACGACGGCGTCGACGACGACGACGACGACGACGACTGCAGCGGCGACGCCGACGCCGACGACGACGACGACGAAGACGACGCCGACGCCGACGCCGACGACGACGACGACGACGTCGCCAACGAAGACGACGACGAGGGAGGAGGGAGGACGACGACGGAGACAACGACGATAACGACGACAACGACGAGGGAGGAGGGAGGACGGCGACGACGACGACGACAACGACAAGGGAGGAGGGAAGACGACGACGACGACGACAACGACGACGACGACGACGAAATAGGAGGGACGACGACGAGACGCCGACGACGGACGACGACGACGACGAGGGAGGAGGAGGAAGGACGACCACGGCGACAACGACGACGGAAACGACCACGACGCCAAAGAGGACGACGACGACAAACACGAGGAAAGACAGAGGACGACGTAGGCGACGACGACGACGCGGGAGGAGGGATGGCGGCGAAGAGGACGACGACGACGCAAGAGCGCGCACGCACGCTTTTGTTTGATGATCCGTGTTGCGAAACCTTTTGTCGTTGTAGGTTTTTTGGACACACGATGTTGAAATCCTTCCGAAACCGATGGGTTTTGAAGGATTTCGGCATACGCGCGCGGCGACGCGCGCGTCTGCACTTCGTCCCGTTTTTTGCTGAGGATTCTCGCGGCGGTACACGCGCAAGGGCGTTCGACAGATTTCGACATGCGCGCGCGCGAAGCCCGTTTGGTAGCATTCTGTGACAATCTTGAAAAACCTATGGTTTTCTTAAGATTTCGCAAGAGCTCGCGCGTAGGCTTTTTTAGCAAAGCAGTGTTGCGAAACCTTGTGTTTTGCATTTTTTTGGAAACTCGATTACGAAATCCTTCCGACTCCGAAGGTTTTTGAAGGATTTCGGCATGCACGTCTGCGCTTCGTCCCGTTTTCTTGCAAGGAATTCGTGAACACATGTTATTAGAACAAAAGGTGTCGCCCGTATTGTTTTTTACACGGGGACCTCAAGGGGGGGCGATACCGGTTCCCCGGGGATGTGTAAATTCATGTTTAGGATGGACATGTGGTCAGCATCATGTTTGATTTACATACCGAAAGGGGGGCGGCGAACGCCGGGGGGGGGAGAGTCTATTTTCTTTGTAGAACGGAGAATTCATTTCTGTTCACAATGAGTTGTCCACTCCACTGCTCGCGCAAACATCCCACCCACCCACCCGCAAATTGGTTTGCAAAATCTCTTAAGACCGTGACGGTGGGTACCAAATGGCACTTGGCAACGACAGCGACGCCGACGACGACAGCAACAACGACGACGACGGCGCCGCCGACAACGACTACGACGACACCGACGCCGTCTCCAACGAATTCGACGACGCCGACAACGACGACGACGACGACAACGACACCGACGACGACGACGACGACGCCGACGCCGACGACGACGACGACGGTGACAACGACGACGACGATAACGACGCCGACGACGACGACGACGTCAACGACGCCGACGACGACGACGTCAACGACGCCGACGACGACGACGACGGCGGCGACGACGACGACGCCGACGTCGACGACGACGACGAAGACGACGACGACGCCGACGCCGACGACGACGACGAAGACGACGACGACGTCGCCAACGAAGACGAGGACGACGGCGACAACGACGACAACGACGACAACGACGAGGGAGGAGGGAGGACGGCGACGACGCGAACGACGAAGAAGGAGGAAGGACGTCGACGTCGACGACGACAACGGCGAGGGAGGAGGGAAGACGACGACGACGACGACGACGACGACGGCGACGAAATAGGAGGGACGACGACGAGACGCCGACGACGGACGACGACGACGACGAGGGAGGAGGAGGAAGGACGACCACTGCGACAACGATGACGGAAACGACCACGACGCCAAAGAGGACGACGACGACGAACACGAGGAAAGACAGAGGACGACGTAGGCGACGACGACGACGACGCGGGAGGAGGGAGGGCGGCGAGGACGACGACGACGACGCAAGAGCGCGCGCGCACGCTTTTTTTTGTTGATGATCCGTGTTGCGAAACCTTCTGTTTTTGTAGGTTTTTTGGACACGATGTTGAAATCCTTCTGAACCGATGTGTTTTGAAGGATTTCGGCATACGTGCGCGACGACGCGCGCGTCTGCACTGCGTCTCATTTTTTTGCAGAGGATTCTCGCGACGGCACACGCGCAAGGGCGTTCGACAGATTTCGACATGCGCGCGCGCGAAGCCCGTTTGGTAGCATTTTGTGAAAATCCTGAAACACTGACGTTTTTTTTTTTTGGGGGGGGGGGGAAGATTTCGCAAGAGCTCGCGCGTAAGCTTTTTGAGAAAATCAGTGTTGCGAAACCCTGTGCTTTGGTATGTTTTTTGGGAACTCGATTGCGCAATCCTTCCGACACCGAAGGTTTTTGAAGGATTTCGGCATGCGCGCGCGACGACCCGCGCGTCTGCACTTCGTCTCGTTTTTTGCAAGGGGTTCGTGAACAAATGTTATGTTAGAACCCAAGATGTCCCCCGTATTGTTTTTTTACAAGGGAACCTCAGGGGGAGCGATACCAGTTCCCCGGGGATAGCGTAAATTCATATTTAGGATGGACATATGGTCAGAATCATTTATGATTTGCATACCCGAAAGGGGGGCGGATAACGCCGGGGGGGGGGTAGAGTCTATTCTGGAGAATCTATGTGGCGCGATTTATGCGAAAGCACGGCGACGGCGGCGACGGGCGGCGCCGCCCGCAAAGCCGCTACTCGTCCCGAGCGGCGGCGACGGTGACGGCGACGGCGACGGCGGCGACGGGCGGCACCGCCTGCAAAAGTCGCCACTCGCCCCGAGCGACGGCGACGGCGACGGCGACGGCGACGGCGGCGGCGGCGACGGGCGGCGCCGCCCGCAAAAGCCGCCACTCACTCCGAGATGGTTCAGCCAAGTCAGAACCCCCAGTGCAAGCACTGTTTGGGGAAATACTTAACGCTGTTGCTGGTTTTGCTGGGGGCTGGAGGCCCCGCCTTCGGCGACGACCAGAGCAAGAAGGGAAGAGTTCTCGAGCGGCATCGTAGTTTTGTAAGGGGGCCGCGTGCGAGTACTTTTGGGAGCAGTGGAGCGCGCTTTTGTCTGATGTGGGGCCACATGCGAACCCTACCCCTAACCCCCCACGATTTCTGAGAGGGAGGCTGGGGGTTCACGTCGCTCGGGAGCTCCTGAGCGAAGGGAACCCCGCCCTCCCCCTCAGAACTCGTTGGGGGGCAGGGGCAGGGGTTCGCACGTGGCCCCCTTGTCTGAGGCCATCGAGCTCCACTGCGCCGCCGGCTGCTCCGCCGCCGCGCACGGCTTCCTGGCCACGGACTGCGACGCCCCGGCGCCGGGGCGCCGCACGGACGCCGCGCGCCTGCGCGGCTCGGCGCCGCTGTTCCACCTGCTGCTCGACGCCAGCCCGCTCGAGGCGGGCGTCCGCTACAGGCCGGCCGCGCGCACAGGTCGGCTAGGCGTGGGAGTGACCCTTCCCTGGAGTGACCTTTGGTCAGGGGAGGAAAAAACACACAGACACAATGAATCCTCGATTCCCCCGAAAATATGGGAAAATATGGGGAGTGGGGGGGAAGACAGGAACCCAGGAAATATGGGAAGATATGGGGAATCTTTTTCTTTGTGTGTATTTATTGGTGTGTCCTGGGGCCCCTTCACTTGGTGCGGGCACAGATGGGTCCGCAGATGGCTGAGAACGGGGCAGATGGCTGAGAACGGGGCAGGAACCGCGGCTCGCGCGCCCAGGTTTGGTCCCCCCGCGGCCCCCACAGAGCCGCGCGCCACAGGTCACACTCCTAATTACCCAGGGTCACTCTTGCGTGTGGCCGAACAGGGGGGCAGGGGGGAGCGGGGACGGCTTCTTAGAAGCACCCCCTGCTTCCCAGAGGGCGCGGACCTTCTCTGCAGATGCAGGGCCGGTGCCTTTCCTGCTTCTTATGGGGGGCGCGGGCCTGGTCTGTGGATGTAGGGCCAGCGCCTTCGAAGAAGCAGCCTCGGATGTAGGGCCAGCGCCTTCGAAGAAGCAGCCTCCTTCTACGAAGCCTTCCCCCTTTCCCCTCCCGTCAGGAGGGGAAAAAAGCACAGACACAATTAATCGCGACTCCCAGAAAACATGGGCAAGCATGGGAAGTGGGGGGGGAGAAGACGAACACCCCGAAAACATTGGAAAGTCTGGGGAACCTTGGGCCCATATTCCTCTTCCTATATTTTTACAAGCCTGGGCGGGGGGAAAACCCGTCTCCCCCCCCCAAAACCGGACTCCCTGGATTTGGGTCTTTGGGACCCTCCGGACGGGCCTCGAAGCGGCCACCGGGCCTCGCAGGGCGTTTTGTTAAGCCTTCCCCGCACACCTAGGGCGATCAGGGGGGTCATCGGAGACGTCCCAGAGACCCCCAGGACAGCACAAGAGCGCTCCAAGAGTGACCGACGTGACCTCAAGATTGCCCAAGAGGCCTCCAGGACGGCCTTAAAGAGGCCTCCAAGAGCACTGAAGGCCCCCCGAGGCCAAAATCAGAGATTTTCTATGGGTTTTTGGTGAATTTTGGGATTCTCCTCTTTGAGGCTTCCTGACGCTCCCAGACGGCGGTCTTCTGGGCGTCCGAAGCCGCCTGGGAGGCTCCCAAATCACCCCACAACCATCCGAAAGGGCTTCCAGGCAGTCCAAGAGAGCCCCAAAACGGCACAACACAGGTCCAAGATGGCCCTCAGAGAGCCCATGGCGGCCCAAGATGGCCCAAAGACACCCTCCGAAGAATTCCAAATCGTGATTCGGTCGTTCAGGGAGACCGCGGTTGGAGGCAGGGTGGCCCGAGGAAGCCCGTGGAGGCCCCGAGAATACGCCCAGGAGGCCTCTAGAAGGCCTTAAGAAAGCCTGAAACAACTTCTGTGAGGCCCCTAGAGGCTCTCCAAGAAGGAGCCTCCGCAAAAAAGAGCTGAGGAGGATGGGGAGAATGCGCAGGGTATGGCGAACATAAGGAAAAAGAAGCGTGGAGGAAGGATAATGAATAACATTATTATAGCGGCGATGCCGGAAAAGGCAACCAGGAATTATCGCTAAATTGTCGGCTTGACCTTCCTGCTATTCCGCCTGCACACCAAACTTCAAGGACCAGGGTGCATGGCGCGAAGCGCCACTTCAGTCTTGTGTGTGTTTGTGTGTGCATATATATATATATATATATATATATATATATATATATATATATTCCTCTTCCTATATTTTTATAAGCCCGGGCGGGGGGAAAACCCGTCTCCCCCCTCAAAACCGGACTCCTGGGATCTGGGGCTTTGGGACCCTCCAGACGGGCCTCGAAGCGGCCCCCGGGCCTCATATGGCGCTTTGCCAAGCCTTCCCAGAACACCTAGGGCGATCAGGGGGGTCATCGGAGACGTCCCAGAGACCCCCAAGACAGCACAAGAGCGCTCCAAGAGTGACCGACGTGACTTGAAGATGGCCCAAGAGGCTTCCAGGACGGCCCCAAAGAGGCCTCCAAGTGCACTCCCAAGAAGGCCCCCCGAAGGCCAAAATCATTGATTACCTAACAGCGAATACTATTAGGTTTCTAGTAGGGTCAAAAGAGAGCATCATGACGCCCCAGGGGGGTCTTGGTGCGATCCGGGGGAGGATGCCCGGGGGATGCCGGGGAAGTCGTTTTAAGCAAACAGTAACGCATTTCGTGGTCTTCGAGTTCCCAGAACTCCATTCCTGGGCATGATTTTGAATGCCCGGAGCCAGCTGTAGGCCACTTCGTGTTCTTCTTGTTCCCAGAACACCATTCCCGGGCCACATTTTGAATGCCCGGAGACAACTGTAGGCCACTTCGTGTTCTTCGTGTTCCCAGAACACCATTCCCGGGACAAATTTTGATTGCCCGGAGCCAACTGTAGGCCACTTCGTGTTCTTCGTGTTCCCAGAACACCATTTCAGGGCCACATTTTGAATGCCCGGAGCCAACTGTAGGCCACTTCGTGTTCTTCGTGTTCACAGAACACCATTCCTGGGACAAATTTTGATTGCCCGGAGCCAACTCTGGGCCACTTCGTGATCTTCGTGTTCCCAGGACACCAGTCCTGTGCCATATTTTGAATGCCCGAGCTGAAGCAGGCTGAGGCCGAGGCAGGCTGAGGCCGAGGCAGGCTGAGGCTGAGGCTGAGGCACGCCGAGGCAGGCTGAGGCTGAGGCTGAGGCAGGCTGAGACTGAGGCTGAGGCAGGCTGAGGCTGAGGCTGAGGCTGATGCAGGCTGAGGCTGAGAGGCTGACGCTGAAGCTGAGGCTGAGGCTGAGGCTGAGGCTGAGGCTGAGGCAAACCGAGGCAGGCTGAGGCTGAGGCTGAAGCTGAGGCAGGCTGAGGCTGAGGCTGAGGCTGTGGCTGAGACTGAGGCAAGCTGCGGCTGAGGGAGGCTGAGGCTGATGCAGGCTGAGGCCGAGGCAGGCTGAGGCTGAGGCTGAGGTAGGCTGAGGCTGAGGCAGGCTGAGACTGAGGCTGAGGCAGGCTGAGGCTGAGGCTGAGGCTGAGGCTGAGAGGCTGAGGCAGGCTGAGGAGGCTGAGGCTGAGGCTGAGGCTGGCTGAGGAGGCTGAGGCTGAGGCAAGCCGAGGCAGGCTGAGGCTGGCTGAAGCTGAGGCAGGCTGAGGCTGAGGCTGGCTGTGGCTGAGGCTGAGGCAAGCTGCGGCTGAGGGAGGCTGAGGCTGAGGCTGGCTGAGGCTGAGGCAGGCTGAAGCTGAGGCTGAGGCCGAGGCAGGCTGAGGCTGAGGGAGGCAGGCCGAGCAGGCTGAGGCTGAGGCTGAGGCTGAGGCTGAGGCTGAGGCTGAGGCAGGCTGAGGCTGAGGCTGAGGCTGAGGCTGAGGCTGAGGCTGAGGCAGGCTGAGGCTGAGGCAGGCTGAGGCTGAGGCCGAGGCAGGCTCAGGCCGAGACAGGCTTAGCCTGGACTGAGGCTGAGGCTGAGGATGAGGCCGAGGCAGGCCGAACTGAGACAAGGTGAGGCTGAATGGGGGGGGAAAGGGGGGGGGGAGGGGAGGCTGAGGCAGGCTGAGGCCGAGCTAGGCTGAGGCCGAGGCAGGCTGAGGCTGAGGCTGAGGCAAGCCGAGGCAGGCTGAGGCTGAGGCTGAGGCTGAGGCTGAGGCTGAGGCTGAGGCAGGCTGAGGCTGAGGCTGACGCAGGCTGAGGCCGAGGCAGGCTGAGGCTGAGGCTGAGGCAGGCTGAGGCTGAGGCCGAGGCAGGCTGAGGCTGAGGCTGAGGCAAGCCGAGGCAGGCTGAGGCTGAGGCTGAAACTGAGGCAGGCTGAGGCATCCGTAGGAATCCCTCGGAATCCTTAGGAATCCTTAGGAATCCTTAGTAATCCGTAGGCATCCTTAGGAATCCGCCGGCATAGTTAAGCATCCTCAGGAATTTTTAGGAATCCTGAGGATTCCTATGGATTCCTAAGAATTCCTAAGGATGCCTTTGGAATCCCTAGGAATCCTTAGGATTCCATTGGATCCTAAGGCCGTTGCCACTGCGACTGTCATTGCGAATGCGACTGCGACTCCGAGAACAGCAGAATTCTACAACTGGATTCTCACCTGAATCTTAAGGGGAATGCTTCCAGATATGCTTATACACATCGCTGTTAGGTTGCTTTCCCGGGATCATTTTCTATTGTTTTTTGGTGAATTTTAGGGTTCACCTCTATTCGGCTTCCCGACACTCCAAGACGGCGGTCTTCTGGGCGTCCGAAGCCGCCTGGGAGGCTCCACAATCGCCCCACAACCATCCGAAAGGGTTTCCACGCAGTCCAAGAGAGCACCAAAACGGCACAACACGGGTCCAAGATGGCCCTCAGAGAGCCCCATGGCGGCTCAAGATGGCCCAAAGACACCCTCCGAAGAATTCCAAATCGTGATTCGGTCGTTCAGGGAGACCGCGGTTGGAGGCAGGGTGGCCCGAGGAAGCCCCCGGAGGCCCCCAGAATACGCCCAGGAGGTCTCCAGAAGGCCTTAAGAAAGCCTGAAACAACTTTTGTGAGGCCCCTAGAGGCTCTCCAAGGAGGAGCCTCCGCAAAAAAGAGCTGAGGAGGATGGGGAGAATGCGCAGGGCATGGCGAAAATAAGGAAAAAGAAGCATGGAGGAATGATAACGAAAAACATTATCATAGCGGCGATGCCAGAAAAGGCAACCAGGAGGTATCGCTAAATTGTCGGCTTAACCTTCCTGCTATTCCGCCTGCGCACCAAACTTCAAGGACCAGGATGCATGGCGTGAAGCGCCACTGCAGTCTTGTGTGTATATATGTACACATGTATATATATACATATGTATGTATGTGTGTGTATATATATATATATATGTGTGTGTGTGTGTCCCTGGGCGCCTTTGTATTACATCCCAATTTGCGCACGCCGCCGAGCAGGCTCTGCGTGGACCTTGACGGGCCCGACGGCGGGGAGCTGCGCGCCGGGCCGGCCGTTGGCACGGGGCCCTTCGTGGCCGGCGTGGAGGCCCTGCTGACGCCCGCTCTGGTGCCCGCGGCGGCCAGCGAGCTGCACCTCCTCTGCGCCGCCGACTGCCGCGGCTACGTCGGCGGCGCCCCGAGGAGGAAGGGGTAGCCCTACCGCTGCCCTTCGCCCGCTTTCCCCCTGTCGGGCCCCTCCTCGGAGGCCCTCGTCGCCGCCGTTGGATTCGCCTCGGAGTTCCGGTCCGAGGGCACCCTGGGAGAGGTCCGGGGAGCAGCGGTATTGGTACCGTTTGGCTTCCCCAGGCGCCTCGGCCGTCTTCCTCTCGGCTGGGCGATGCGAGGAGGCGCCGCAGCAGCCGAACGAGTCCGCCACTGGGCTCGCGGCTCTGTTCGGGGCCGCGCCCGCCTGGTCCGCGCAGGTGGACGCGGGGGGCCTCGCCCTTGGTGCCCGCTACAGGCTCTGCGTAGACCTCGATGGCGCGGGTACCGAGCTCTCGCCCGGGGACTCCGGCTTCACGGTGTACGCCACCGGCATTTTGCAGGTGAGCGGCGCAGAAAAACGGGGTCGTCTTCGCCGACCTTGGCGCGGTTCAGCTGCCCGCGTGAGCTCGCGCGTAAGCGCCCCGGCTTCCAGCGCAGCGTGCCGCGCCGGCGGCCCGCGGAAGCCGCCGCGTAAGGTCGCTACGTCGTCTCACGTGAGGCCCGCTCTTAATCATCGCTCAGGTGGCCTCTGGCTCGGCCGTCCTCGCAGCCGACGCCCAGGAGGTGGCGCTCGACTGCGTCGCGGGCGGCTGCTCCGAACAGCTGGAAGTCTTCCTGTCGACCGACTGCGAGGGGAGCGCCGGCGTCGACTCTCCGACGGTAGGCACTGCTGCTGTCCAACTGCAGGCCACGGCCAACGCCACGCGCTGGACAGCCACCGTCAACGCCTCTCTGCTGGAGCCAGGTGTGCACTACAGCGTCTGTGCTGATCGCGACGGCCTCGACGCCGGGAACTTCTCGGCGGGCGACACGGGCCTCTCCGTCTTTGTGTCGCCGCTGGGCACGGCCCTCCCGGCACAGGCCGTCGTCCGGGCCCTTCCTGGGCAGAGCGTCCCGATCGAGTGCACGCCCCACGCTGGCTACGGCTCCCCCGCCGAGTGCCACGCCTCCGCTGACGCCTCGGAAGGCTTCCTGCTTGGGCCCGGCGCGGGGCCATGCGACGCCGCCGACGTCTGGGCGCGTGCAACGCCGCTGGCGCCCCTCGCGGCGTGGCCCCACGGCTCGCAGTGGCTGGAGTGGGAGCCCGTGGGTGCCCACTGGCTGTCGCTACTGGTCGACGCGAGCTCGCTGGAGATCGGCCAGCACTACGCGCTGTGCGTCGACGTTGACGGCGACGGCTCGCCGGTCCTCCGGCCTGGGGACTCGCTGCTCGACGTGTACGTGTCGCCCTTCGAGGAGGCGGCCATGACCGTCCGCACCGAGGAAGACCAGGAGCTGCTGGTCCGCTGCGCGGCGGGCGAGTGCGCTGAAGCGGTCTCTGGCAACATCACTGGCGCTTTCTTGTGCGAGGACTGCGGCTGCAGTCAGCGGGCTGCGGACGCGGTGAACGTCTCCGCGGTGGACGCGAGCACCGTGCGCTTCGTGTTCAACGCCAGCGGACTGACGCCCGGCGTGCACTACCGCCTCTGCACGGACTTTGGCGGCGCATCCTCTGAGGATCTGCGCCCTGGCGACTCTGGCGTGTCGGCGTACGCATCCAGCATCGCCGACGCCCGCGCCGTGGACGCCCCCGTCCCCGCCGGAGGGCTCAGCCTCCACCTGCGGCCGGGCCAGTCGCTGGCGCTGTGGTGCCCGCAGGGGTGCAGCGCTGCCTCGCAGGCCTTCCTGTGCGAGCCCTCCGCGCTGCCGGGATCGGGGCTCGTCCCCGCCTCGGCGCGGGTTCGGGCACTGACGCCCGCGGCGGAGCTCGCCGCCGCGGGCCCGGAGTGGACCGTGGAGGTGCAGACGGCGGGCCTGCAGAGCGGCGCCCACTACAGGCTGTGCGTGGACCTCGACGGGGCTGGCTCGTGGACGTACGCGGCGGGGGACACAGGAGCGGCCTTTGCGGAGTCAGCATCGCCCAGCCCATCCTCATTCACATCGGGGCCAGGGTATCGCAGCGCCACCAGCCCAGCCTTCCAGGGGGGTGGCTCGGCCCCGCGGAGCTCGAAGGGAGCAGGCACATACCTCCACCTGGGTGGGTGTCGCTGCTTCGTGCCGTGTCGACTCGGCGGCGACCCCGCCGCGGGCGTTCAAGGTTGAACGCCGCCAGTGGGCCAGAATGGACCAACGTGAAACGATCGGGCGATCGAAAAAACGCCGATCGTTCAAGGTTGAACGATCCACGCGGTGTCAGAAACCAGCGCCAGGGTCGCCACGACACGAAATCTGCCGTAAGTCGGCCAGTGGCGCGAAGGCCCCGAGTGTGCTTCAGCATAGGGGTTTTGCGCCTCGTCTTACAAGGGCTGCCTGTTCCGAAACCTCTGTCGGCTTTGTGGACGTGGCTGCTGCCGATGCTGCCCCTGCTTTTCATGCGGCCGTTGTGTTGTCGGGTTGTGCTTGTTCTTGTTGTCAGATTTCCCATCGGTCGTTGAAAGCAGGCAGTTCTGGATTCCCAGATCCCAATCTATCACCACCCACCAAACCACCCCAACCCAACCCGAAGGCTGCAATTTGCCCTCCATTTCCAGAGGAGGGGGTCGGGGAACATGGAGGAAACACATATGGAACCCGTACCCCCCCCCAACCCGAAATTCGGGTCTTCGGGTTGGGTTGAGGTGGTCTGGTAGGTAGTCAATCTACTGTAGGCACCTTCCTACTGCAAGGATCGAGCGGTTTTCCTTGTTCCCTCCTCGTCAGGGGGCGGGCGGAGATCCAACCTGCTTCCAGCGCCCTCCTACTTTTAAGTCGGGCCTGTCCCTCTACAGGAGGAACATTCAAACTAGTAAAACAATAGTCTGGGGACGATGTTTGAGCATTCTTTGGCTATTTTGGAGTCTTTTTAGGGTATTTTTCATTTTTCACCCGAAATCGGCCTATAGGGGTACGCGCTCGACCTAATCCGACTTCCTGTTTCTACGCAGTTCTTCCCACTGGCGGGTGTGCTTTCACACTCGGGGTTGACGTTGGGCCATGTTTTGGCCGGGCATGTCCTCCTACAGTCCGGTTCTGGGAAGAACAACAAACATCAGTCAAGGAATTGTCAAGCATGGTGAAGAGAGTCACGAACAATCGTCACCGGACTATCTTGAATATTCCTCCTGTAGAGGGACATGCCCGACTTGAAGTATTTTTTGCTGTCGCTCGCAGGGCTCCTGGTGTACGCGTCGGGCATCAGCCCCGCCGTCGCGCCCTCCATCCTGCCGCAGGGGGCGCAGACCGTCGCCTTCGCCTGCTCGGGGGGCTGCAGCGCCCAGTCCCAGGCGTTCCTGGCATCGGAGTGCCGCGCGGACCGCGCAGGTCGGGGCTCAAGGGGCTCCAGGCTTCCTAGATGGGGTCCGCGTAGATGGGATCGGAGTATCGCGCCGCATTGCCGATGCATCGACGATGCAGCTCGATGCGGAACGTCGCCGATGCATCGCCGACGCCGATGCATCGCCGATACACCGGCGATGCATTTGCGATGCGGCGCGATCCTTCGACCCCATCTACTCGGACCCCACCCAGGAGGCCTCTAGGGATGGGGGTCAATGCAAACGGGGGTCAGCCAGAGCGCCGGTTCTTGCAGGATGGCCCCGGCTTGGGCGCAGGATCCTGCAGGATCTTGCAGGATCCCGCAAGGCCTGACCGACCCAGGTTTGGACTGACCCGGGTCAGCAGATCCGCGGGGGACCCAAACGGGGGGTGGTGAAGGAAAGGGGCCCCCTTTCAGGGCCCCTTCTGGAGCCAGCTGGTGCCCAAATCGGGCCCACGAAGGGCCCCTTTGGGAACTTTTTCTTCACCCCCCACGTGGGTCGCCCCCCGAGCAGGCACGCCGCCGGCCTTCTTGCCACCCGCCCCTCCCTCCCTCCCTCCCTCCCTCCCTCCCTCCCTCCTCCTCCTCCCTCCTCCTCCCTCCTCCTCCTCCTCCTCCTTCTCCTCCTCCTCCTCCTCCTCCTCCCGAGCAGGCACGCCCCCGAGCAGGCGCGCCCCCGAGCGGGCGCGCCCCCGAGCGGGCGCCCTCGCCGCCCCCGAGGCAGCACGCCTCTCTCTCGCCACCCGCCCGCGCAGGCACGCCGCCGGCCTTCTTCGTCCGCGCCGACCTCGCGCACGCGGGCGCCTGGCAGGTCTCCGTCGACGCCGGCGGCCTCGTGGCCGGGCGGCGCCTCCGGGGGAGGGGATCCCTCTTCGGCCACACGCAGGGGAGGCCCTTCGGCGGCGGGGGGCCGCTGCTGCGGGCCCCTTCGGGGTGCCGCGCGGCCGAGTGCGGCGCGGTGGCAGCGTCTTGCGCGCTGGTGTGTTCGGTCCCCCCCGCGGCCCTCCCGGAGCCGCGCGCCAGAGGGCCCCCCTTGCCGGGGGCCGCTCCTGCGCGGCGCCGAGGCATCTGCAGGCAGCGCCCGTGCCACTCCCTCGTCTGTTCGCCCCGCCTGGGGCCTCCCGAGGATCCCCCCTCGCTGCCTCGGCCGGATTCGCCTCGGAGCCCTGGTCAGAGCGCGCCACGAGAGAGGTCTGGAGAGTACAGCTGCCATCTTCGCTAAAGGTCTTTAGTTTTGGCCCCCCCCATTCTCGCTCGGCGGTGAATAGGACTGGTTCTAAAACCTCCTCCTCCTCCTCCTCCTCCTCCTCCTCTTCCTCTTCTCCTCCTCCTCCTCCTCCTCCTCCTCCTCTTTGGGGGGGGTCTAAAGACCTTGCGGGGTTGAGGAGCAATGCCAGCGCCAGCTCTCGGAGCCGGCGGCTTCCTCCAGCATGCTTCTGCTGCGTGTGCGTCGCCCCTCGAGGGCCGCCGCGCGCGCCGCAGAAGTCTTGGCAGTGTAAGCTCGGGGGCGAGCGCTCTCTGGCCGCACCGCTCGGGGAACGTTCCGCTGCAGGACGCTTGTGCTGCATGCCCAGGTCGGGCGCTCGCCTCCGAGGCTCGGAGGAGGAAAAGGTGCCCATACCCTGACCTTCCAGGAGGGCTAAAAAATAGCACCAGGACGTCGACGTCCTAATTCCTGTCGAGGTTTGAGGCACTCCAGATAGGTCTACAGGTCTGGTGTGCTATTCTTTAGCACTCTGGAAGGTCAGGGTACCTCTGCCCCGTCGCCGCCGGTCTTCCCCTTTTTCAGCCTCCTGGGAGGCCCTCGTCGCCACCGCTGGCTTCGCTTCGAAATCCTGGCCAGAGCGCACCCCGGGAGAGGCCCGGGGAGTACCTTTTCGGTTTCCCCCCTACATGTTCGGGTCGGGGTTCACGCCTCGGAGGAGGCCGCATGGTACTGTAGCGTGTCCTGCTGCCTCCCGCGGAGGGGGGGGGGGGCAACCCCTCCGTCCCTCGTGCTTCGGCTTCCCGGTGCCCACGCCTCTGAGCGCCCTCCCCCCCTCCTTCCCTCGCGCGGCCGCCCTCGTCTCCGCCTCTCCCTCTTGCACGCAGGACAGTTTTCCGGAGGGAAGAAAACACACAGACACAATTCATCGTCGATTCCTAGGAAAATATAGAAAAATATGGGAAGTGGGAGGGACTATAAAAACCCAGTAAATATGGAAAAAATATCGGGAATCCCGTTATCTGTGTGTATTTACTTGTGTGTTTGTGGGCCCCTTCCAATTTGCCCATCGGCTGCCCCGAGTCGCCCCACGCTGGCGCGGACTGCCTCTGCCTCGCCGCCGACTCGGCGCAGGGGGACTCGCGTCCTCGACCCGAGGCCTCCCAGCCGTGTCTCGACCGCACTCCGCGTCTAGGCGCTTTCCCCCCCGGCTCTCCCCCCGCGCGGCCGCCCTCGTTCGGCGTTCCCCCAACATATTCATATTACCTATACGACCACCCTGCGGGTGATAAGGAGGTTTGGGGGGGGCAGCAATGGGCAAACGTGGTGATTGTTGTTCTGACGATGCCTGTGGGGCGGAGTCTAGTGAGTAGTGTGATTGTGCCCGTGAGCTTGATGTGATGTGGCGATGTTGGCGAAGCGCACCACGCGCCACCGGCCGCCGGAGGAGAATCATTTGGTCCGGCCGCGGCCCAGCCACAGGAGGATTTCGGGACACCCGCGGGACACCTCGGGGCACCGGCCGCCAGAGGAGTTACATTTGGTCCGGCCGCGGCCCAGCCACAGGAGGATTTCTTTCCGCCCGCCTACGCAGCTTCGCCTCGCCCGCACGCACGAACGGCACGCACGACACGAACCCGAAACCGAAACCGATTTCCCGGTAGGGGGGGGTCTCCGTTTCACGTCGGACTCACCCCCCAACCTCCGATACGTGCGTCTGCCCCCCCAGGGGCGACGCGCGCACCGGGAAATCTTATAGTACATGTGTCGTGGTCGGCGCTTTCTGGCCACACCGCTCGGGAAACGATCTACTACAAAGTGGGTATGCTATATGTTCGGGTCGGACGCGCGCCTCCAAGGAGGACGCATAGTATTAGTCTGTCTCAGTGCGTCCCACTCCTCTTCTTTCCTCCCTCGTGCACGCCGGACAGTTCGCATGCTGGTTGCCCTGGTCGGCCCCGCGCTGGAGCGGGCTGCCTCTGCCTCGCCGCCGACGAAGGACAGTTTCGACCGCACTGGTACGGTAGGCACATCCAAGAACACAGCTTCGTCTGCCGGCCGGTGCCCCGCGGTTGTTTTCCTATCACCCGATGGCCCCGGGCACCCACAGAAGCTCGGAGGCAACCTGGGGCCCTCAAAGATCGACGACTGATGTGCCCCAGCGTTTCAGGCAGCAAGATTTCTTAGCGTGTGCACCTACTTCGGCGCCGAGCCCAGGGGGAAGTGGGAAGGGGCGGGCCTTCTCAGAAGGCTCGGGAGTCCCCCAGCCTTCTGAGAAGTCTTCTCAGCCCTCCCCGAAGACACGGAAACAACCTCTCCGAAGGCGCGAGGGCTTCCGAGAAGTCCCTCCGCCTTCTGAGGAGGCCTTCTCCTCACTTCCCCCCCTCGCGCGCCGCCGACCTGTGGTTTTCGGGTCAGAACTCGGGTCTCTGGCGGGCGTTCGGGAGGATCCGGGCACGCCCAGAACGCCCTCGGCGAGGCGCAGCCGCTGGAGCGTATCTCGAGGGCGGGAAGCCGCCAAGAAACTGCGAAAGCGCCCGAAAGCCAAAATCTCGCTCGCCGCCTTTCCCCCCCCTCGCTCGCCGCCGACCCCAGGTACTACCACCTGTGCGTCGACTTGGACAGCCTCTCGGAGGACTCGGCCGCCCCGGGCTTCTCCGGCGTGGTCGTGTACGTTTCGGGGCTCCTCGCCTTGCATCCAGGCACCGTGGGCGCGGAGGGAGCGCAGGCCGTCTCGCTGGCGTGCGCTCAGGGCCATCGCTGCGGGGGCGCGGTCGAGGTGCGCCTGGCCGCAGTGAGCTGCCTGGACCGCAGGGGGGGAGAAGATACCCATCGGTCGTTGAAGGCAGGTATCTCTGGAGTCCCAGATTCCAATCTACTTTCAGGCGCCCTCCCACTTCAAGCATCGAGTGGCGTCACCTTTTCCGCCCTCTTTAGGGAGCAGACGGAGCCCAATCTCCTTTCAACGCCTTCCCACTTCATGTTTTTACCTACTTCTTCCGACCGATGGGTACCGCTACACCTGCCTCGCTTTTGCCTTTTTGAGCCTCGTGGATGCCCTTGTCACCGCGGCTGGATTCGCCTCGGAATCCTGGTCAGACTGCACCTCGGGAAATGTCTGGGGAGTAGCGGTATTGGTATATGCCGCTTCGTAAGATCAACCCCGCGATGCGGGATAGCGTGAAGGTGTGGAAGGAGAGGGTATCAGTAGATGATGGGCTGGCACGCCCAAATAGAACAGTAGACACTTTACGTCTACTGATCGTTTTCTTACCACCTGTTTTGCCGATCGGCGCGGGCTTTCGCGCCCCCTCCCCCATGGAGTAGATCTTGGCTGTGTTTGGCGCCTGCCTCAAGCAGGTGGAGTCTCACTCGTAGGACGCGCGGTTGCAAACAGTCGCAGTGAGCAGAGGCCTGGAGTCAGACACCCCCCTCCCGCCCCCCTTCTGCCCAATGCCGAAACGCCGAATAAGACAACGTTCGCCTATGGACACACAGCTACACGATGTACACCTTTTCAGGGCCCGTTCCGATTACTCCGATTCGATTGGATTCGATCTCGACGGCTTCCGATGCCGATCCGATTCGGCCCCGGATTCCGATCCGAACTCCGATTCCTGAACGGAGACATTCTGTGCTTTCGATTTCCTCCGATCCGACTTCTCCCGATTCGGCTGTCGACCTCCGCCGCTCCGGGCTCTCCTGCCTTTTGTTACCAGCTTGAAACATATCCCTATCCCTATGTTTGACATCACCTCACCTTGATGCCGATCTTGAAGCTTCCCTCAGTTTCTGAGGGCCTATCCCTAAGATTGTCCTCGCTTTTTGCTCGCCCATGTTAGGGATAGGGATAAGTTCGAGGCTGGTTGTCTTGGTCCCCCCAGGACCCCGCGCCCGTGGCCACGGGGCCCACTGGGACCCCGCTGCTGCCGCTGCTCGGGGAGGGCCCGAGCGCCACGTGGGCGTTCAACGCCACCGGCCTCGCGGCAGGCTGCCACCGAGGAAGTCGAGGAAGGGAGAGGGAGCATGCTGCCAAATGCTTTCCAGAGGTCGAAGCAGATGTTTCAGACGTGCTTCAAACATGTAGAAGCATGCTCGGAACATGTTCAGAGCATGCTTTGCACACTTTAAACACATGTTCAATTCAATGACAGGATTGTTAGAGTGTCCATTGTCATGGCATCCACAAGGCTACCACTACAAGATGTGCACCCGGGCGAACGACACGCTGGGAGCCTAGCTGCCCCGAGTCGCCCGCGTCGGCCACACACAAGAGCGACCCTCCGCAGGAGTGACCTTGGGTGCGGGCCCGCCGGGGCCCCCCGATCGTCGATGCGATCGTAGCGTCTTGCGCGCTCGTGTCTGGCCCCCTCGCGGCCCCGCAAGGAGCCGCGCACCAAAGGTCACCCTTGCCCAGGGTCACGCCTGCGTGTAGCCGACTGTGTTGAAGCGCAACACGCACAGTGTTTAAGACGTCCGTGTTGAGACGCTGCGCGTTGGCTCGGCACGTGCTGGGCCTCGTTTTGGCAACCGTACCGCGCCAGACCTATGTTTTCAGTCTCCGTGTTGAGCTCCGACGCTACGGGTTGCGTGTGGCGCATCGGGGCGGCTAAGGCTGGAAGAGTCGTCTGGAGCTGCAGCTCTGGAGGTCGGCGACGTCAACCTCGAGCTGTTCGTGTCGCCCGCGGTAGCGCTGGATCCAGTGATGTTGCTGCCCGCGGAGTCGCAACAGCTGACGGTCGTTTGTGCTACTGGCTGGTGCTCTGCCGCGACCGAGGGCGATCTGGCGCTGTCTTGCGATGGTCCCCGGCTCGCGATGGGCGCGCCGGAGCAGACTGCGCCCTCGCTGTTTGAGATCGGGACAGGCACCGACGTCTGGACGCTGTCCCTCGACACGGGTGCCCTGGTGCCTGGCAAGTACTACAGGCTTTGCGTCGACATCGATGGCTCAGGCCTCTACGATCCAGGCAGTACTATCACTAGCACGACGCAGACGCTTACCTCGACAACGGATTCTTCATCGAGTTCAGCGACGGCCACCACGGCGTCCTCGGTGACCCAGACTTCCGCGTCCACTGACACCAGCTCGACCACCCAGCACAGCACGACGGCGACCAGCTCGAGTGCCGCTTCGAGTACCGCCACTTTGACCTCTGCGACTCCGACCAGCACTGAGACAAGCAGCACCTGGACAAAGACCTCATCCTCAGAGAGCAGCACCAGCACGAACACTGTGACGAGCAGCAGCGCTACGAGCAGCAGCGCCACGAGCAGTACTGCCACCAGCAGCAGTGCGACGAGTACTGTGACGAGCACGACTGAGAGCCTGACGAGTTTGACGGGGAGCAGCTCCGAAACGAGCACCACGACTGCGTCGGCGACCGCTACTGCGACGTCGAGCACCACGGGGACGACGACGGCGACCAGCGGCACGCAGACGAGTACCACAACCCAGCTGCTCGAGTTGCGGCGAGGAGATACAGGACTCCAGGTCTACGTATCCGCGATCGTCCCCGCCGCACCGCAGGCCGTGCTGCCAGGCGCCGCAGAGCCCGTTGCGCTCGAGTGCTGGGCTGGCGCGATCTGCTCGACGGCGTCGGAGGTCTACCTCGCGGAGGTCTGCAACGCCTCGGCGGAGGGTGAGCCCTTCGCCGCCGTCTTGGTGGCCGAGGGGTCCACGACGGCGTGGACCGCCACTGTGAACACCAGCGGTCTCCAGGCGGGCACACACTACCGGATCTGCATGGACGCGGACGGGCCTGGGCCGATTCAGGCGGGGGACACAGGGCTCCAGGCGTATGTCAGCGGGGTCATCCGCACCACGCCCAGCCACGCGCCCATCACGCCTTCGCTCCTGCTGGAGATCGCCTGCGTGCCCGGCACGTGCCCTGAAGGCTCACTTGCCTGGCTCAGCTATGGGGGCTGCGACAACGCCAGCAACGGGTCCGGGCCAGCTCAGACTGCAAAAGTCAGCTTCCCCGCTCCGCATTCGGCGAACGACAGCGTCGACCTGGTCGCCTTGGAGCTTAACACGTCAGCCATGCAGCCTGGTTACCGCGCACACCTCTGCACGGACCTGGATGGACACGAAGGTCCGCAGCTTCCCGGCAGCGCCGCCCCGAGGGTCTACGTATCGCCAGTGCTCGCAGTTCCTGCGCCTTGGGCCAGCGCGTCATCGCCAGTGGGCGTGCTGTGCTCTCAAGGGTCGTGCGACGACGCTGCCCAGGCGCACCTGGCCATCGACTGCGCGTTGGTCCCTCCCTCGGGCGCGGGCGCGCCGATGCCGCCGTCGCTCCTCGTGGGGTATGGCAGCGGCCTGTTCCTGCTTGAGGTGCCGATGGGCCTGCTAGTGCCTGGCGCCCACTACCGTCTGTGCGTCGATGCAGACGGGCCCGGCCCAGCCCCCGTGGGCGACGCGGGCTGGTACGTCTACGCTTCGCCAGTGGCGTTGGCGAGGAGCTCCCCAGTGGTGCTGCCCGCCGCCTCGCAGCGGCTGCTGCTCACCTGCGGCCAAGAGGGCTGCCCACAAGGCGCGTATGGCTTTCTGTGCGCGCCAGGGCAGCCGCAGCAGCCCTCGATCCAGCCGCAAGCTTGTGGCAGTGGCGCCGCTGCCAGCTGCACGGCGCCCCAGCCCCTGCAGCTGGAGGCCCAGGGTCTGGCCACCGCTGGCGCGGACGCCGCGGGGCTGACTCCTGGCCGCAGGTATTTCCTCTGCATCGACGGCGACGGGGACAGCACCGCACTGACACCTGGCCCTGCTGGCTTGGCCTTCGTGTCCCCTGTCGACGCCGTGAACTCCAGCTGGCTGCCTGTCGGAGGCGTGCGCACGCTGTGGCTCCACTGCGACGCCTGCCAGGTTGGCAGCGAGGTCTTCCTCAGCGAGGCGGAGGCGGACTGCGACGCGCAGGGCTTCACGAACATCTCGGTATACGCGCTCCTCGAGGGCGGCGAGGGCGGGTGGTGGAGCGCCAGTGTCGACCTCACCACCAGCGACGCGGGGCACTTCCACGAGCTCTGCATAGTCCACAACGAGACGGGACCGAGCGGCTTCGCACTGCACCTGGGGCCCAACGCCTCCGTCGAGCAGACCATGGTGCGGCGGACAACGGCACAGACCATAACTCTCGACTGCGGAGCCGGATGCAGTGCCCTCACCGCCAGCTACTTGGCAACATCCTGCTCGTCCTGGGACGCGGTCACTGGTGCCGCCAGCGAGCTCGGGAGCTGGCACGTGCGTGCCCACGGCCTGTCGCAGGGCGCGGGCTCGGCGGAGCTGCAGTTCGACATGAGCGCCGCTCCTGCAGGCAAGCACGTGGTCTTGTGCACAGGTGTAGGCAATCTCACCCAGCAGGCGGGCGACACGGGCCTCTCTCTGTTCGTGTCGCCCCTGGCCGCGGCGGGGCCGCTGGTGCTGCGCCCGCTGCCGCTTCAGAGGCTCGTCGTGGTCTGCCCCGCGGGCTGCTCCGCCGCAGCCGAGGTGGGCCTCGCAGAGAGCTGCGGGGACGAGCCCAACACCACCCGCGCCACGGCGCGCGTCGCGCTGCTGCCCGGCGTTGCGCCCCTGTGGGCCGCGGAGCTCGACGCGCGGGATCTCTCGGCAGGCGTGCACTACCGCCTGTGCATCGATCTCGACGGGCCTGGGGAGGCCTACGCAGACGGCGACAGCGGGCTCCAGGCGTACGTTTCCGCCGTGCCCGCGCTTGGGCAGGCGGCGGTGCCCATCGCTGCCGAGGCGGTGCTCGGAGTCGTGTGCTCCGCAGGTGGCTGCTCGAATGAGTCCGAGGGCCTGCTTGCCGAGTCCTGCTTGTCTGCGGCCGTGGTCAATCAGATGGTGCTGCAGGCCAACGCGACCGCCAACGAGACGTGGAACTTGACCGACAATGCCACGGACAACGCCACGGGTAACGCCTCAGAGTTCGCAGCGCAGTCCCGCTGCCCGAACGCGGTTGCGCAGCAGACCTCGGCTGCGCTGTTCGGGGGAGATGGCGCGGACGGCGGGTACCTGCTGACCTTGGATACCAGGTGTCTGCAGCCGGGAGCATACTTCCGATTCTGCACCGACCTGGACGGGTCCGCCTCGAGCGCTCTGTCGCTGGGCGAGGCGGACTACGAGGTGTACGTCAGCGGCATCGTCGAGGTGGTCGGTGCCCCCGCGCTTCCCGCGCTGGGCAGCCAGACGCTGAACTTGCTGTGCGCGGGCGGTTGCTCCACGGACTCCCTCGTGTACCTGGCCACCGCGTGCGACACCCGCAGCGGTGCTGCCCCGCCGGCGGGGGAGTTCGGGAAGCGCACCTCCGCAGGCCTGCTGTCGCCTGTCGCGGCCGAGCCTGGAGGCTCTGGCCGCTGGGCCGCGGCGCTGGCCGTGGGAGGGCTCCGCCGCGGGGTGTGGTACAGGCTCTGCGCCGACCTCGACGGGGCGGGCCCAAGTGATCTGCGCGCTGGCGACACTGGGCTCACGGTGTTCGCCTCCGGTGTCGTCCAGATTGATCCGCCCTTCCTGCTGGCATACCCTGGCCAAGCTCTCGCCCTGACCTGCAGCGGAGGCTGCAGCGAGGACTCTGAGGGCTATGTGGCGGCCACGTGCGATGGTGCGGAAGGCTCCCTGGCGAGTCCCTTTGTGCGCGTGCCCGTGCACCCCAGCGCGACGGGCACCAAGTGGCAGTTGACGGTGGATGCATCCGCGCTGCAGCCGGGCGGGGGGGCGCGACTGTGCACCGACCTCGCCGGGAACGCGACTGGAAACGCGAGTGGGAACACGAGCGCAGCTTCAGTGGGCGACGCTGGCTTAACGCTGTACATCACCCCAGTGCTCGAAGCGGTCGTGCAGGGCGCCCCAGAGGTGCACGTGGCGTGCGGCCTCGGCGCTGGCTGCTCGGTGCTGTCCGCGGCGTGGCTGGCGGAGAGCTGCGAGGACTCCGGCGCGGCTGCCGCGCAAGGCTTCTCCGCCACCGCCGCGGGCGCAGAGGCTGCGGTCTGGACGCAGCGCAGGGCGCTGGGCGGCGATGACTTGCGGGCCTCGGAGGCCTGGACGCTGGCCGCGCCAGGGCTGGAGCTGGGGCAGCACTACAGGCTCTGCCTCGACGTGGACGGCCACCTGCTTCCGCTGCCCCTCGGCACCGCGCGGGGCGTCTATGCCTCAGCCGTGGTGGCGCTGCGGACCCTGGGGATCGGGCGCGGCCCCGCGGAGTCGGTTTCCTTCACCTGCGCCAACGAGTCTGGGTGCTCGACGAGCTCGGCGGGCTACCTCGCCACGACGTGCGGCAGCTCCGCCAGCCTGCCGATTCCCTTCGCCCTCGTCGATGCCGAGGCCCAGGCGTTCGCGCTCGAGGGCATCGACGCTGGCGATCTGCTGCCCGGGGCGCACTACCGGCTTTGTACCGACCTGGACGGCAGCTCCTCCCCGTCGCTGGTAGCAGGCGACACGCTACTCAGCGTGTACGTTAGCGGAGTGTCGCGCGCCTTGCCCACCGCCACCCTGCAGGCCGGCGCGACAGGGTCGCTGGTGGTATCTGACGGGACGGTGGCACGGCCGCATTGCATCAGCTCGTCCACGCCATGCTTCTGGGACATTCCCACGAAGGCAGAGTGCGCGAGTCAGCTGTGCAAGAGTGCCGGCTACCTTGGTGGCTCGTTCGTGTCGGCGAGCAACGACATGTGCAGCCAATCCTTCACAACGGAGAGCTACTACTACTGGGACACGTCCCAGAAGGAGTACGGTTACGGGGACAGGGCTTCGGAGGCTCAGGTGGTTGCGAGGTGCGAGGTGAGCAGCACGGCCACGTTCGCGCTCGAGTGCGCAGAAGGTTGCTCGGAGGCCTCAGAAGGCTTCCTCGCCACCGACTGCTACGCCGCCGCCCTGGCGCTCATGGAGACCACCCAGAACGGTTCCAACTCGTCGGAGGAGAACCTCGAGAACGGCTCCAATTCATCCAACGAGACATATAACGTCTCACAAGCGCGCAGACTGGCGGCCCCGCGCCGCCTGGCGACGCGGGAGGGCCGCCTGCTGAACTGGGTGGGCTGCTTCGTCGACGACTCCAGCCACGACCTCGACAGCGGGCCGCAGTCCAGCGGGTACAACACGGAGCTGTGCGCGGACGCGTGCTTCGGCTACGGCTTCATGGCCCTGCAGGACGACGGGTGGTGCAGTTGTGGCGACAGCTACTCCACGGAGGTGCAGTACGAGCCAGTCGCGGACGACGAGTGCGGAAGCGTCTGCTCTGACGAGGAGAGCCTGGCGCCCACGCGGTACTGCGGCACCACAAGCCGGAACGCCATTTACTCTTTGGACTATTCGCATTGGGGTAGGATTTATGTGACCGACTACGACCAGGGCACGATCATGAGGGCAAATCCAGACGGAAGCGCGTTGGAGACACTGGTCGATATCTCGGGGGTCAACCCGGCCGGGATCGACGTGGACACCGTTGCAGGCAAGGTGTACTGGGTTTCAGAGGTCTCCGACAGCGTGCAGAGGGCCAATTTGGACGGGTCGGAGCTAGAGACGGTGGTGGACGGGCTCCCAGGTGAGCGACGCAAGAATCTTTGGTCGTCTTGGCGGACATTCGTGCGTAAGCTGCCCTCGTAAGGCCGCGCGTGAGCGCCCTTGTCTCCGCGCGGTGGGCCACATTGGCGGCCCGCGTAAGCCGCGGCGTGAGGTCGCTATGCCCTCTCGCGTGACACCCGTGTGTTTTCTTTGCTCAGGTGGAGTCTTTGGCGTCGTCTCGCTGGACGTCGCCGCCGAGACGCTCTACATCACGAGCTCCGGCGCCCGCAAGATCCAGCGCGTGGGCCTGGACGGCTCGGGCCTCGAGGACGTCTACGCCTGCGCGAGCTGCGTGCCGCAGGGTGTCCTCGCCGTGCCGGAGGCGGGCAAGCTGTACTGGACGACGGGGGCCCCGCCCGAGAGCCCGGGCCCGGGCTACATACAGCGGGCGAACCTGAACGGCACCTCGGTGGAGACCCTGGGCATCGGTGGGCTCTCCACGCCGATCGGGCTCGCGGCCGACTACGCGGGCGACCTGCTCTACTGGGCGGAGAACAGCGGCAAGGTCCAGCGCTCCTCGCTCAACGGCTCCTCCGTGGAGGACCTCCTCGTCCTCGGGGGCGAGACCCCGGTCGGGATCGACATCGACGTCGGCACCCAGAAGCTCTACTACGTCGGAGGCGCGTACGACACCGTGTACAGGGTGGAGACGAGCGGCCTGTCGGACACGCCGCTGATCACCTCGGGCCTCAGCTTCCCGTGGGGCATCGCCGCCGACATCCGCGAGCGGGTGGCGGAGGGGCAGTTGCGCCTCGCGGGCGGCGAGTCCGTCTTCGCGGGCCTGCGTGGGCGCGTGGAGGTGTTCCAGGACAAGCGGTGGGGCACCGTCTGCAGCTCCGTGGGCTGGACCGACCTCGAGGCGCAGGTCGTGTGCGGCCAGCTCGGCTTCCTCGGTGGCGCTGCTCTGGGCCCAGGCAGCGTCCCCAACGGCTCGGGCCCCATCTGGCTGGCCAACTTCTCCTGCGGGGGCAACGAGACGAGTCTGGCCGCGTGCGGGCAGTTGGGCCTGGACGGCCACGACTGCAGCCACGCAGACGACGTGGCTGTCGTCTGCGAGGACGACCCCATGCAGATAGATTGGATAGGCTGCTACGCACAGCTCGGCTTCGGCGACCGCATCTACGGCTACGGATACAACTCGTTCACCTGTGGCCAGGCGTGCTTCGTGTGGAACAACTACGAGCGCAACACCAACGTCTCGTACTTTTCCCTCGAGGACGGCGGTAGGTGCACGTGCGGTGGCGCCACCGCCAGCAACACCACCGTCGCCCTGAGCGACTCCGAGTGCGGCGCCGTCTGCCCCGGTGACGGCGGCCTCCTGCCGGTGCGCTACTGCGGCGGCTACTTCCGCTCCGCCGTCTACCGGGTGGCGCGCGCCGCTCCCACCACGACGACGACCACCACCTCGACCACGACCAGCACCACGACCACACCAGCTTCTACGAGCACCGTGACAGCCACTGAGACGAGCACCGTGACGTCGTCGACAATCACGGCCACTACGAAGACTACAACGACTACCAGCACGACGACGTCTTCCTCGACTACCACCTCAACGAGCTCTACAACCACGACCACGACGACTTCCATCACAACGACTACGACGACGACCTCTACGACGACGCCGATTCCGCTGGTGTCGTGGCTTGCCGAAAGGTTCCCCAAAGAAACTTCAGAGATAGAATGCCAGTTCGTGCTGCTCGGAGAGGTGGACTCTGTGTTCTACGATGGCAAGAACATCACCGACAACGTGTCGGGCGACCTGCGGAACGGAAGCGATGTGAAGGGGGTATTCCTCTACCCGGTGCCCGGGGCCATGCTCGTGGTCTCGGGCCATGTCGAGAACGGCACGGACGCGTGCGACACCGGCGGGTTCTACGTCGCGTGCGAGGGGAACCTGACGGACGCCAGCGTGCTGGAGGCCTATGGCTCCCCGTACCCCGTGGACCCCCTCCGGAGGTCTGGCGCGGGCGGCTCCTGGTCTCCGCCGTGCGCGGCCGGGGGGGGCGGAGCTGCTCCGGCGGAGCTGCCCGGCACCACGCGGAGCCCCTGGGCGTGGGCGCCGGCCGCCAGGTCGCGCGAGGCTTAAAAGAACGGGTTCGCCTCCGCTGGCACTCGCGCGCACGCTTCCCGCGCAGGTCGGGCGTGCGCGAGCACGGAGATCAATGGGGGCGCGGATGGGCGACGGGTCCCGTTTCCAGGGGAGATCGCGGAGCTCCGCCGCCGAACGTGGCGGCACAGGCCGCATTTTGGAGAGGGCACCTCCCCCGATCCATGGAGTTGGCGACCGCGCGCCAGATCCACGGATCGCTAGTCCGTGTCTGCGCGCCCCCGAAGATCAGGAGGGAAGAAAACACACAGACACAATTAATCGTCGATTCCCTAGAAAATTGGGGAAAATATGGGAAGTGGGGGGGGGAGACAAAAACCCAGAAAATATGGGGAAATATGGGGGATATTTTTACTTGTGTGCATTTATTTGTGTGTCCTGGGGCCCCTTCAGAAGAGCGGGTGCGACTTCGCCGGCATTCGCGCGCAGGCTTCCCGCGAAGGGTGGCGCGCGGAGGCCCGCTCCATCCGGTGCAGCGCGCCACGCAGGCGACCTGCGTGAGCCGCGGCATGAGGTCGCTATGCTTTCTTGCGCAAGGCCCGAGTCTTTGCGTCGCTCAGGTACGCAGCCTTTCGCGCAGAGATCTTCAAGACCGTCGCGTGCGAGTTTTCGTCGAACTACGCGGTGGACAGCGTGTTCTACGACGGCCAGAACATCTCGCACCTCGTCTCGGGGAATTTCACGGAGCCAGCTGGCGCCAAGCGCTTCTCGTTCGAGGTCGTCTCTGGCGCGCGCCTGTCCATCTCGGCTCACGTCGAGTACAACGGGAGCGACATGTGCGACAACGCCGCCTTCAAGATTTTGTGCAGCAATGGCTTGGTGGCACATGACAGCCGGTGGGAGGCCTTCAGCTCGGACGCGCCTGTCGACGACGAGCACGCCGCCGGCAGCGGGCGGGGGTGGTCGGTGCCGTGCGACGCCGTAATCGCCAGCCGCGACGCGTCCTGGCTCGTGGCCGGTGGGCTGCCCGCGATCTGGTCGTCGAGCGGAGGGAGGTATGCGGCGTTCCGCTGGGCCACCAGTGAGGTTGTGGAGTGCAGCTTCGTGATGGACGGCAACGTGAGCCGCCTCTACTACGGGGGTCGTGACATCACGCACCGCGTCAGCGGCGACCTGGACGACGGTGGCGCCGTGAAGCAGGTGGCGTTCAGCCGGGTCCCCGGGGCGTACCTTGTGGTGTCCGGCTCCAACGCCAACGCAACAGGGGACCCCTGCAACTCCACAGGCTTCGAAGCGCAGTGCGGTAGTGCTACATGGAGCGGCGGCGACTGGGAGTTCTACGGGTCGCCTGACCCCCTGGGCTACGCCGTGAGATCAGGCGACGGCGACGCGTGGCACGCCCCGTGCTCTTCGGCCGCGGCGATGTTGTCCAACGGCTCTGGTGAGCTGGAGCGCCTGTGGTCGGGAAGCCAGCACGCGGCGTTCCGATGGCATGATCAAGGCTCGTGGCGTCTCGCGTTGCGGTCCGAGGTGGAGAGGCAGGCTGGTGGCGGCGCGTTCGCGTACGCGTCCCCTGTTTGGAGCGACCCTTTGCACGCGCCCTTCGGGATCGACGACGATGACAATCCCGTGGATGTTCTCACGGAGGCCTTCAATGAATTGAAGGTGGTTTGGCTCATTCTTCAGCCAACCAACATTGGTGCACAACGATTGCTAAGGTGACCGAAAGGTCCAAAGGGATCTGCGAGGGGCTCTGGAAGGTTCTATTGTAGTGAGCTCCTTTCCGCCTGAATAAGGTGTTTCGAGAGTTCCAGGGAGATCCACCATTATTGCGAAGGCCTTACGGCCAGTGCCGTCGACCCTGAAGGGAGACGACGACGACGACGACGACAACGACGACGACGACGACCATGGCGGCGGCGGCGACGACGACGACGATGACGATGCTGACGTGGGCCGGACGGATGCTTCTTGGGGTCTCTACGGAATGCTCCCAGAGGCCTCTGGGGATGAATTTTGGGGCCTCTTGGGAGCCTCTTGGGGCCTCTGCGGGCTTCCGGGGGACCTCTTGTGGGCCTTCGGGGCCTCTTGAGAACCTCTTGGGGCCTCCTGGGGGCCTCTCGGGGCCGAGGGCTCGAAACTTCCGTTCGGGTCCCCCGTCTGGGCATGCTCTTGGAGCCGTCTTGGGGGCCTGTCGGGCCGTCTTGGAGGCGTTGTGGGGTGTCTCGGGGTCCTCTTGGGCTGTTTGGGGGCCCTCTTGGCCTCTTGGGCCGTCTTGGGGCAATCTTGGGGTCCTCTCGGGCCGTTTTGGAGCAGCGGGGAGCGGGAAAGGCGAGAACGCCCAACTTCCTGTTTTTCGAATGCGAAGAGAAAAGAAACAAGAAGTCAATAAATGTTGCCTCGTGTGGCCCTTCTCGGGAGTGTTCTTGGAGGCTTTTTGATGCGTCTTGGGCCCCTTCACCCCCTCCTACTCACCCTAGGACCTCCCCGACAGGGGGAGGGATCAAAGGGAAGGGGCTTCCCTTCGATTCGATCACGACATTACTAGATTTTTCTCTCGCTGACAGGTTTGAGGAGGAGGGTGCAGGGAACGGGGACGACGGAGACGATGGCTAACGGAGACGACGACTCGAACAGACAAGCCCCTCACACACGCCGACAGGGTCGGCGAATTTCTTGAACGTCCCAGAGGGTCCGCAAGAAGGGTCCGTGAAGGGTTTCAGAGAAGACCGGTTGGCCCTAGGAGGATGTTTCGCAGGTCTTGGCCCAGGAAGGTTTGAGTGGGCCCCTGCAGAGCTGAGGAATTTCAGCTTCCCAGCGAATTTGTGTACTCAAGTGACGACCATGCAGTTGGCATTTCGAAGAAGAAGTTGGCATGCCAACAGGTACCCCACGGGGATTTCTCATTTCCTGGCGACTCCAGGCAGTCATTGGGGTCCCCATGAAGTCCAACCTCAGCTGAGCAGTATATCCCCAATGTGCCCCCAGGTAAAACCTGGGGGCACACTGCTCGGTTGCTGTTGTAACGGAGGGCGCGCCGCTGGATGTCACCAAGGGGGGGATCCCCCCCCCCCCGCCTCCCTTTCCCCGATCCGTTGTCGGGGACCCCCCCCCCTCCCCCCCCTTTCCCGATCCGTCGTCGGGGACCCCCTCCCCCTTCCCCCCCTTTCCCGGTCCGTCGTCGCGGACCCCCCTAACACTAATCCTCACCCTTACCCTAACCCATAACGCGAACCCCACACCCAAACCGTAGCCCCAAACAGTATTCACTACTCAGTACACACTACTCAGTACCCACAATTCACCAGTATTCGCTACTCACTACTCACTTCTCACGACTCACTATTCACTACTGACGATTCACTACTCACTACCCACGACTCACTACCCACTACCCACTACTCACTACTCCCTACTCCCTACTCGCTACCCACTACTCACTACAAACAACTCACTGCTCACTACCCACTACCCATACTCTCTATTCACTAAACACAACTCACTACCCACTACTCACTAATCACCAATCACTATTCGCTACCCACTAACCATTAACCACTAACCACTACTCACTACTCACACTTCACTACCCACTACTCACTGCCCACATGTCCCTACTCATTACCCACTATTCGCTACTCGCTACTCCCTACTCCCTACACAGTACTCACTACTCACTAGACGCTACTCCTACGCCTCACTCGCTACCCAATACGCATTAATCACTACCCGCTACTCACTACTCACTACGCCCCCACTACTCAGTAGTCACTACTTCCTCTCACCACACAGTTCCCAGTACTCAATACTCACTACTTACTAAACACTAATCACTGCCCACTACTTACTACTTACTCACTAAGCACTGCTCTCTACCCACTAACCACTACCCGCTGCTTACTACTGAGTACTCACAAATTATTACTCACAACGCACTGCCCACAACTCGCTACTCACTATCCGCTACTCGCTACCCAATACGAATTTTTCACTACCCACTACGCACTACTCGCTACTCACTACTCACTACTCCCTTCTCTTACTCACTAGTCGCTAGTCGCAAGTCGCTACTCAGTACTCACTACTCACTAAGCACTACTCACGACTCACTCCCTCACTACTCACTAATTTGTACTCGCTACTCCCTACTCACTGCCCTTTCTCAATACCCACTTCTCGCTTCTCACTACTCACTACCCCCTACTCCCTACTCGCTACTCACTACTCGCTACTCGCTACTCGCTACTCCCTACTCCCTACTGGCTACGCACGTCTCCCTACTCACTACTCACTACTGACCCCAGACTGCTTCCTCCTCACTACTCACAACTCAAGACGATTTACTCGCTACTCACTACTCACTACTCGCTACTCCCTACTCGTTACTCTCTACTCGCTAGCTACTCGCTACTCACCACTCGCAATTCACTACGCATTACTCTCTACTTACGGCGCACTAATCACTACTCACTACTCACTACTCACTTCTCGCTTTTGCTACTGTCTACACCCTCATCCCGACTCCCTCCTTACTACATTGCACTACTCACTACACACTACTCAGTCCTCACTACTCACACTTCCTTACTCACTACTTCTTTCCCGCTACTCACTACCCACTACTCACTACTCACTAACCTCTACGCACTACTCACTACTACCACTACCCATTACCCACTACTCACTACTCACGACTCACTGCGCACTACTCACTATGAAATACCCATTACCCACCAATCGCTATTCAAAACATTCTACTCCCTACTCACTACCCGAGAGGCCCCCTCCCCAGCCCTCTGTTCGACGCAAAGGGAGGGAGGGGGGGGGAGTTCGAACACCCCGCCCCCCACCTTTCCAGGGGTCGGCCCCCCCCCCTCCCCCTTAAGGGGGGGGAAGGGGGAGGGGGGGTCGAAAGTCTCACCCCCCTTTTGAAAGGGGGGGAGGGGGGGGGGGTTCTGCGATCCCCCCCCTTCTGTGTATTCAGGGACATCCATTGGCGCGCTTTCTTTACGTGGGTGTCTACTGCTGTAGCCCAGGTGGTGCGCGTGCTGGTCGAGATCAACGGCGTCCGGGTGACGTTCTCCCTGCCGCCGAGATGGCAGGGCGCCTACAGCCTGCGCGAGCTCGCGTCGGCGCGTTCAGCCACGGCCATGCAGGGCCTGGTGAAGCGCTTCGAGCCCGCCGCGCCCCCGACCAGCAGCGCGGGCCTGCCGACGGGGCTCCCTACCGGGCGCGCGCCCGGATGGTCCAGCGGGGCCGAGGTGGTTCAGAAGTACATTCAACCCGCATCGTAAGAATGGGCAACGTTCCCAAGGGTACCCTTGCATCCTTGCCTCCTCGGTCCATCCTTGGCCACTTTCGTTGGCCGCGTTCCGCTCGAGAAGCTTCGAAACGGGCGTCCACGGCCCTTGCATCCTTATCGCGCATCCTTATAGTAAGGGCCGGCTGTAACTAGCCAGGGGTCACGAACCAGGTGCTAGGTTGATCAGCGCCGACCACCCGATTAGCACGTCAAGCAACAATATTTTGTACTGCTATGAGCCCAACACCCGGCCAGTAACCCTGGCGAACTGCTTCTTCAGGTAGACGCGTTCGGGCTGCTGGGCGACAGCCAGAACCGGCTGTACTGCGGCGCGGGCTTCGACGTGAGGAGGCCCGGCGCGGCCAAGCTGCCGCGCGCGAGGCTCGGGAGCCTGCTGGACCAGGCCGCGTCCTGCGAGTACGCGGCCGGCGCGGAGGGCATTGGCCTCTTCGACATGGAAGGCTCGGCAACATCTGGCCACGTGGACTTCCGGGGTGGCCACACGTTTGCTGCGGGAGCCGTTTACGTCGGCGGGGTGCCTCGGGCGGACGGCGAGCTGCGGCTCACAGACGGCGCCTCGGGCAGGCTAGAGGTATTCTACGACGGCACGTGGGGCACGGTTTGCGGCACCGATTTCGACGACGTCGACGCCCTGGTAGCGTGCCGCCAGCTCGGCTTCCTTGGTGGCGAGGCTTTGGGGGCGTACGAAGGTGGTGGCCCAGCGCCAGGCCTCGGCAACATCTGGCTGGACGGCCTCGGCTGCTATGGCCATGAGGCCACTGTCGGCCAATGCGGCCATCAGGCCTGGGGCGCACACAACTGCACGCATGCGCAGGACGTCGCCGTGCGCTGCTTCGAGGACGGCGCGGATGAGGAGGTCTGGTGGACTGGCTGCTTCGCAGACGCCTCATCTCGCAACTTCGTTGCGGGCCCGCAGGTCCACGGCTACGGCACGGTGTCTTGCGCTAGGTCGTGCCGCGGCTTCAAGTACATGGCGCTGCGCAACGGCGGTGTGTGCACCTGCGGGGACAGCTTTGGCGGCGCCCCGCAGTATTATGAGGTCGCGGCCAGCGAGTGCGGAGACGCCTGCCTGGGCGAAGGATCCCTGTCTCCGACCCGCTACTGCGGCGGGGTGTACAGGAACGCCGTGTATCTCCTGCAGGAGGAGCTTCCCACCACCACCACCACCGCTACCACCACTACGACCCGCCGGGACTTCCAGTACACGCGGTCGGGCGCGTTCCTGGCCACGGAGGACCCCAACGAGTGGCTGCTGGCCGTGGACTCGGGAGAGCTGGACCCTGGCCTGAGGTACCGCCTGTGCACGGACCTCGACGGGAGTGCCTCCCCTGAACTGCGCTCAGGCCACACAGGGCTGGAGGTCTTCCTCAGCCCCGTGGTCGACCTCGCGCCGACCTCGTTGGCGGCCATGGCTGCTCACTCCCTTGCGCTCACGTGCCGCGGCGACTGGTGTGCCAAGAATGCCTCTCGAGGCTTCCTGGCCGCCCAGTGTTCCGGCTGGTCGGCGCCGGACAACGCCACCTGCTCCAGCGCCAGCACGGCGACCTTGCAGCAGGCTGGGCCCAACAACAAAATTAGCATGGCGAAGGACCCCATCATCTGCAGTTATAAATACCGCAGCTGTGAGAGTCGCTATCGGTGGGCCACAAAAATGTGTGTGTGCCGAATCGGGTACTGGTACGCCATGCGGACTGTGCCGCCGGGGCCTTAGGTGAAGCTCCCTGGGGCCACGAAACGTGCGAGGGGCGTGCCGAATCGAATGCGGATACGCCATGCGGACTGTGCCACGGGGGCCTTCGGTGGAGCTCCCATATGGGGTCACGAAGCGTGTGAGTGATGTGCCGAGTCGGTACCGGATGCGCCATGCGGACAATACCACTGGGGCCTTCGGTGGAGCTCCCGATGGGGCCACGAAACGTGTGAGGGGTGTGCCAAATCGGATGCGGGTACGCCACGCGGACTGTGCCACAGGAGCCTTGGGTGGAGCTCCCTGTGGGGCCACGAAGCGTGTAAGAGGGATGCCGCATCGGATGCGGGTGCCCCATGCGGACTGTGCCACGGGGGCCTTCTGTGGAACTCCCGATGGGGCCGCGAAACGCGTGATGGGTGTGCCAAGTCGGATGCGGGTGCGCCATGCGGACTGTGCCGCGTGGGCCTTGGGTGGAGTTCCCATATGGGGCCACGAAGCGTCTGAGTGGTGTGCCGAGTCGGATGGGGGTACGCCATGCGGGGTGTGCCAAGTCGGATGCGGGCACGCCACGCGGACCGTGCCACAGGGGCCCTGGGTGGAGCTCCGTATGGGGCCACGAAGCGTGTAATGGGTCTGCCGCATCGGATGCGGGTGCCCCATGTGGACTGTGCCACAGGGGCCTTCTGCTGGTCTCCCGACGGGGCCACGAAACGCGCGATGGGTGTGCCAAGTCGGATGCGGGTGCGCCATGCGGACTGTGCCACGGGGGCCTTGGGTGGAGCTCCCATATGGGGCCACGAAGCGTGTGAGGGGTGTTCCACGTCGGATGCTCGCCACGCGGTCTGTGCCACTGGGGCCCTCGGTGGAGCTCCCTATTGGGCCACGAAGCGTGTAAGAGGTGTGCCGCATCGGATGCGGGTACGCCATGCGGATTGTGCCATTGGGGCTTTCGGTGGAGCTCCCTATGGGCCACGAAACGTGTGAGTCGCGTTCCGAAACGGACATGCTGGAGGCAGAGGCAGGGATGGGGGAGGGAGGGGGGGGGGGAGAAGGAGGAGGATGAGGAGGGGGAGGGGGAAGGAGGAGGAGGAGGAAGAGGAGGAGGAGGAAGGAACGTGGGGCGCTGTCTTTTCAAAACGCGGACCCTACACCACAGGATGGTTGGGAACATTGCACGCACACCTGTCCTGGCCAGGCCCCAGGATGGGCCTTGCCAGGGTCGGTGTGCAGAAGGCACATTCGAAGAGAAACCTGCCTGCCAGCGTGCACGCCACTGCACATGTGCTATCCTTCGAGGGCCAAGGGGTACCACAGAAGTTCTGGGGCGTGCCATGAAGTTCGGAGATCGATGCCAAGTGTGCCCCTGGCTCCGTGTAGCAAGATGTCGTATCGTATGTTCCTGCTGTGCGTGGATATTTTCTCTTAAACAGGCGCTGGCGTCCGGAACCTTCCCGTCGTCACCCGCCTCCTCGCTGGAGGCGCTGGGCGGCGACCTCTTCGGGCTGCAGGTCAACGGCTCCTGCCTAACGCCAGGACGCTACCGCCTCTGCCTGCTGCTGGCGCCCGACGACCCCGACGGCGACCCAGCCGAAGCGGAGGACAGCGGCTGGGAGGTGACGGTGTCGCCGTCCAGCGCGGCCTGAGGTGCCGAGGAGGAGCAACACTAGAGGATCGAGGTTTCGTGTCGTCTTCCGTGCCTGGTGGCCGCTTTCGGCCCCAGGGCCGCCAGAATTTCATCTGGGATGCGACGTTGGCCAAGACGGATCCTCGGAGGCGCCCAGGAACGATCCTGAGCGGATTTCAGGGAAGGAAGAGGCAGAACGTCCCGGAACGCTCTGAGAAGGCCGCGGCGCCCAAGACATCCTCCAGAGCCGCCGCATCTCAGGGATTCTCGATTTATCCTCACCCGATGTTTTCCCTCATCCCATCTTCGTCTCAAGAGGAGAAGCCATAGCGATGCCAACGCTCGCCTCTTTGGGCCTGCTCGGGGGGCCTCCCCGCCACGGCCGCATCCGCCTCGGGCTCCTGGCCAGGACGCACCATGAGCGAGGTCTGTGGAGGAGGAGGGGGAGGAGGATTCATCCAGGTTGCTTCATAAGCCCCCTCTAGCGCCACCCTGGCCGACGGATCGTTCTGGCCCTCCGACGCGCACCGAGTCCACCCCCTCAAAGGAGAGCCAACCAGCCCAAGCCCCGCGAGCCACAGCCCATCCCACCCCCCATGCGATCCAGCCCCCCATGCTGATCAAGCCCTTCCAGAGCACTCGGGCTCCCCACGGACTGACCGTTTCAGTCCGTAGGCCCCAGGGGTCTCGACCCATCCCTGGGGCACAACTGTTCGTCCCGAGTCGAGGCCCGCACCCTAGTCGAGAGCATCATCGGCTTCTCCTTGTGGTGAGGCACCAATCGGTCTCTTGGATAAGAGCCGTAGGCCCTCCCATAACACGCCTTCCGCCGTTCATTGACACTTGATTGCGACACTCATGGGGCCCTCTTACTCGATACGTCAACGTCTCTCCAGTTTTCAAGGCCGGTCCCCAAACGCCCCCCCGAGGCCAACACACGGAGGATACGACGCGATTCAATGAACCTTGCGCGACTCCAATGTTGGGAACGTTTTCTAAGCGGCATTGCTTGCCATTGCTTGGCATTCATTGGCATTGTTAGGCGTTGCTTGGAATTGCTTGGCACTGCTTCACATTGAGTTGCCGTGCTTGGCATTGCATTGCGTTGCGTTGCTTGGCGTTGCTAGGAATTGTTTGGCAATGCTTTGAGTTACTTGGTATTGCTTGGCGTTTCGGTGCGTTGCTTGGTACTGCTTGGCATCGTGTGGTATGATTTAGCATTCGTTTGTATTGTTGTGCGTTGCTTGGCGTTTTTGGCACTACTTGGCATTGGTTTGCATTGCTTCGCGTCGCTTGGTATTGCTTCGCATTGTTTGGTGTTGTCCGGCGTTGCTTCGCAATGCTTGGCGCATCACTTGGCATTGCTTGGGATTTCTTCGGATTGCTTGGCACCGCTTGGCGTTATCGGGATTTTCTGGGAATTGTTTAGTATTGCTCGGCCGTCCTTGTCCAAAAGCAGAAAGGACACAAGACTA